CTGAATCACCTGAGGATTGTTACAAATAGCCTTAGAAGAGAACTGGAGGGGAAGAATTGGCTGTTGATTTTCCAGGAGAAGCCTGCTGCGGATGGTTTTCCTGATGTGAACTCGGCTGTTCTCATCCATCAGAGGAGGAGCTCGGGGCCTCACTGTGGCTGGGAACGGCTGCTTTTTTCCTAGGGGAGCTCTGATCTTCACTGTGAGCATCACTTCCTGGCTCCAGTGTGGATCCCTCAGCCTGGGGGCACAAATCCTTCACCCCATCTGGCGTAGGATTTCTGGCTCCCACCACTGGCCTTTGGGCCTTCCAGGTGCAGATCCTCAATACGGACAAGCATGAGACATTGCTGTGGGCTCCGGGCCACTGGCTGGACTCGAGGAGGACACTGCCTTGGGCTCCAGGCCTTCAGCTGGACTTGTCTGGGACACTGCTGGGATCCAGGCCCTCAGCTGAGTCCTTTGGGCTTCTAGTGTGTGGTTAATCTCTTGTACTCCTTTGCATTTGACTCTTCGGTAATTATCATAGAATAGCCTTATAAGTTATGTGTCCTGTATTTAGTGTATTCCCTTGCCTAAACCCTGAGTACAACACGGGCCTAAAGCTTCTCAGCCACAGAGAACGCGATAAACCCGTGCCACTGCTGTGCCAGGCCTTGGCGTGGTGCACATCCCCTTGGCCTCGGTCCCAGCAGCGCAGCTTTTACGCCGCCTGACGTCCTGCAGCCAGCACAGACCGAGTAACGCAGAGACCGCCTGCGCCTCACTCAGCGAACACAAGCACAAGTCTTGGGCTGGAGTTGGGGTCTCTGCTCTACTGCTTCTAAAGCTCGTGGGCCAGATGGGTGGCGCCTTAGAATGTGATGATGTGTGTGCGTGCACGCATGTGTGCATGTGTATCACGGCCATTCCTGGCACCATGCTGTCGCTGTTCTGCAGCAGGAAGTGAAAGGCCAGTCACTCAGCAAGTGCCACACGCCGCAGGAGTCAAGGAGCTGGACGGTCGTTGGAGTCCTGTCTGTCCCGTCTGTCAGCTGTGTGACATTAGCAGACTCACTTGCCCTCTGTGAGCCTCCGTGTCCCCCAGCCCCATGAAGATGAAACATGTGCCAACGCCTGGGGTTGCTCCGAGGCCTGGCTCGTTCGTGGTCGCAGAGTGTGTCGAGCAGGATGGGCCGGATGTACAGTCACCACACAGGTTGGTGGGGGATCAAGCGCAGTGAACCCCGACATGGCACACTTTGCCTGGTGCATCCTGCTGGATCCGCCGCGGTGCGCAGTGCAGGGAGGCCCTGGCCCTGCAGAGTTCCGGGCCTGTGCTGGAGGCCGTCGAGAAGGGCAGTCCACGTTCCCGCGAGGGCTCACCTCACCAGCATGGCAGCCCTGAGTGTCAGCGAGGGCTCCAGGCTGTCCGCGCCCCTGCCAGGAGACCGTCACTCTGCGTGCCTTGTGCTTCCCAGGGACTGGTTTCCTGTGTGCAGCTTTAGTTTGGCCTGGACTTACCCTGGGAGCTCCTCCAGGCCACATCAGACTCCTGTCCCCATTGCTGCCTCTGTCCTGTCGGGGATGCAGCAGCAGCAGGAAGCCCTGGCCAGCTAGGTGATGTGCTCAGGGCCAGCCTTGGTTCAGACGGCAGAGTCTGCGGCCTCCAGCGTGGGGACCCATCTTCCCTTGGAATCTGCAGAGTGCAGGTTCCGGAGCCCAGGATGCCAGGCCTGCGGATGGCTCTGGCTTCTGGGAAGTGACACATGTGGATGTGACCCACACGTGGCTCCTGCACACTAAATACCACATGTATGAGTCGCAGTGCCTAAGACCATGTAAATGGATCCCATTGTTTAGGGACCTATGGCGAGGAAAGCATTACACGTCCTCAGTGCAGCCCGAATCTCCTGGTACTTTGGATCCGCTCGTGTTTGAATCCTCGGCTGCAGATACGGAAGGCGACTGTGCTCTCGAGTCGGGGCCGCCCCTGTGCCCCACTGTGACTCTGCCAAAGGTCTGGAAGTGGCCCAAGAGGACCGCGGCTTTCTCTCTAACACCTCACGGTGGGCTTTGAGGTTTAGAGAATAGAAATACAAGGCGCCGTGACACTTCGTTGTCATTTTTACCGTGAGCGCGCCCCATGCATTAGTTCTCTTTACTGGAATCGATCTGGGACTGAAGCCCTGACTGACATTTTCTGCGTGAGCCCGGGACAGCCGGGGCCTGGGGCGTGAGCTCCACCTAATTCTCAGTGGGGATGCAGCTTTCTCACTTGTTGTTCTATTCCTTTACTCCTGAGTCCACGCAGGGGTTAAAAATAGGATCCTGTGCTCAAACTGCCATGTCCTCATGTTTCTTAAATGTCTGACTTAGGGAAAAAGATCTTTTCATAAACGTTAAAATTAATATAAAATCTCTTCAAGGCCGCTGAGTTGCTTGGAGATGTGAGTGGGCCACGTGCCTTCCAGTAAGAGCCCAGCCACGGCGCTGAGCTACAGCAGCTTCTTTCTGGAGAGTGGGGATCGCTGTGGTGAGGATTGCATTAGCCACTGTAGTTTGGGGGCTGTCGCTGGGGAGAATTTTGCAGCTTTGTAAACCACAATTATAGGAGTAGAGGACGGCTGAGTAACGTGAGCTTTAGGTCCCCCTGAGCACTGTTAAGCAAGAAACTCTGGGGTCAGATGCCAGGGGCAGAGGTTCAGAGCCCACTTGTGCAGTAGCTCAGAGCTTCCGGCCCCAGATGGTTTCCACGGTGACCTCCTGCTGCCTTCCTGAGTGGACTCCAAGAGCTCATGCTCTGGACCCGCGCCTGAGCCAGCTGCGCAGCCAAGTTCTGTCCCGAGTTTGGGCTCTGGTGCTCAGCAGGGAGTCCGGGCCCCTGGTCCCCAGAGGCCACCTCTGCCACGACAGTCCAGTCACTGGGCTCTGGCTTGCTGGGCAGCTGGCTGCCTGGGGCATTTGACCTGGGCAGCCCTGGAGGAGCAGGTGACCGTGTGTGGCTGGAATCCCCCAGGGATCCTCTTGTGCAGGGAGGGTCCTCTCTGCTCTGGGCCCCAGGCGGATTACATGGGGCTCTCAGTGGGATGAGAGGGTCGGGGATCTGATTACAGTAACGCAGAGGGCCAGCATGCACCCGTCCTGGGCAGGACGTAATCCATTCTCCGAGATACCCAGCTCATCCTTCCTCCTGCGTCCTTCCCTCTCCCATTTATGAAATGTTTACTGAGTGCCTGGTACTGGCTGGGCTCTGGTCCTCAAGGCTGTGGGTGCTGTGGGACAAAGGGCCACATGCTACACTGCTCACCAGGTGTTCATGATGCAGCCAGAGGGGAACAGGGAAGGGGCACCCGCAGAAGGACAAGGTGTAAAGCTCCAACACAAGACATCAGCAGAAAATCCACCGTCACTTCCTGCTTTCCCTAAAGCAGGTGCAAAGGCAAGTTTAGAGGAAACCGAGCAGGGCTGGGTCCTGGAAAGTCAAAGTGTGTGATCTGTAGGGGAAGTCTCTTCTTACACTTACACAGTTGCATTGTTGAAGCGGAAATCCATATGCAGAAGGCTGTGCCTTCTGCAGTTGCTGCAGGTCCGTCGGAACCGCTTGCCATTGGCAAAACATGTGCCTTTGGCATCCCATTTGTGGCCCAGATGCCCTGAGCTTGGTAATGACGTTGGCCTGAGATTTCACCTCTTGGAGCTGTACACGGACCTGGGATGAACACACGTGCCTGCCACGCTGGCTTGTGTTTAGCGGAGCACCTACAGTGTCAGTGCAGGTCGGGGCCTTGAGCTGCCCCAGCCCAGGAGGGCCTGCGAGGTGTACATGCAAAGCCGGGACCGGACCGACCCATCTGCAGTCCTTTGCTGTCTCCACGGCTCCAGGCCTGAGGTGCGAGGGTCCGGACGCAGGGAAGCGTTTGCGAGGCCATTGGAGTGGATGACACAGCCCGCCAGGGCAATGGAGGACCAGTGCCCGGCTCCTGGTGCGAGGCGCCAGCTAGCCCGTGGAACTCTGCCGAGATAGCGAGCACGCCCACCACCGTGGCTTCCATTTCTAAAACCGGTTAAATTGGTCGTTTGCATTATGCAATTCCTCTGTCTGTGTTTTTCTTACACAATGTAAGGCAAACTGTAAAAATAACATTTTGGATCCTTTTTCTTCCCTCCCCTGAGGGAAGGAGCAGCTCAGTGAGCAAAAAAGAAAGATGTTTCTGTCCATTGGCGACAGCGCAGGTTGCATGGGAGGCAGGTATGATGGGAGGGAGGAAGGGAGAGGCTGCCCCAGGCGCCTGGCTCCGTCGGCCACACGGAGGGTTCGGGCATGGTGTGGCCCATCCAGCCATCGCCTAGCGGCCTTTGCAGCACGTCCTTCCAGAGCTGCCACTGCCCGGCGCCCAGCTCCACACGAGGTGTGTGTAGTGTGCTGCACATGGCTGCCCGTCTCAGGCATCCTGGGTCTGGTCCTTCCCCCTTTCCCACTGGCCTGTCGTCTCTGCAGGTCTTGTGTGCACCTGGTGGAACATGACATGGTGTTGGGGGTGGAATACGGACCTGCCCTCAGCTGTGTGCTGGGAAGCGGATTCCTGCTTCTGATCCCCACCCGTCCTGCCGGGCTGCCTTGTGAGGCCCCTCTGTTGTGGGTAGCAGGTGAGCGCACCTTCTGGGGGCTCGCTGGTCCCTCCTTAATCTCCGGCAGGTACTGCCTGTTACCACACGTGACACTTAAAAAGACTTTCATTTGAATTTTCTTTTCTTGCATGCTGAACTTGGTCTTCAGGCGACACTGGAAGTCCAAGTGTTCTGCTTCCATTGGTGGCATTCATTTCTTCTAAACACGTGTGCATCCAGAACTCTGCGTATGTGCTCCATATCAGCGGGTGATGCACGCGGGGATGTTGGGTAAAGAATGGCATCGCAGGCACAGAGCCAGGGCGCTGGTCAGGAAGGGGCGCTCGGACGTCTGGGATGGGGTGGCAGCCCAGAGTTACTAACCCCGAACTCCGCTTGCCTCTTGACAGCGACCGAAAGCCGGGGCATCCTCGAGAGCATCCAGAGGTTCTCCCTGCTGCCCACCTACCTCCCGGTCACGTACCACATCAACAACGCCGACGTGTCCTTCTTCTTGAAGGAGGCCAATCAGGACATCATGCGCAACTCCAGCCTGCAGTCCAGGGTCGAATCCTTCCTCATCTACAAATCCAAGCAGCTGCCAGCACTCAACGCCAGCTACGGGCCCTTCTCCATCGAGCAGGTAGTGCCACAGGACCTGATGCTGCCCACCAACCCCTTTGGGTTCACCAACACGTTTTCCCTGAACTGGAAGCTGAAGGCCTCCATCCTGCGGGACAAGATCTACCCGAGCCGCCCCAAGGTGCAGGTCCTCTTCCACCTGCTGGGGCGGGACTGGGACGAGCCACGGCCTGAGGAGAGGCTGCCCTGCCTGCACGTCTTCGCTTTCCGGGAGACCCGGCAGGTGCGGGGCAGCTGCCAGCTGGGCGGGGACCTGGGGCTGTGCGTGGCGGAGCTGGAGCTTCTGGCCAGCTGGTTCAGTCCTCCGACTGTGGTGGCCGGGAGGAGGAAGCCGGTGGAGCAGTCTGAGGGGAGCCCTGTGGAGCTGTACTACTCGGTGCAGCCGGGGGATGCACATGGGGACTGTGGCCAGGAGGCCCCCTGGAGGAGCAGCAGCGTCCGCACAGGGCACAATGATATCGAGGAGTCCGGACCACCCTTGCACAGGATCGGGAGCATCTTCCTCTACCAGGCCCACAGCAGCCCGGCCCTGCAGGAGCTGCGCTTGGACAGTAACGTCGCTGTTCACTACGTCCCCAAGACGGCTCGACGAGGCGACGTGCTGACTTTCCCTATCTCCGTCTCCAGGAACTGCACGGAGGACCGCTTCACGCTGAGGTAAGCGGGCCCTGGCAGCAGCCCAGCACCTGTGCCAGGGGGACACCGCTGGAGGCAGCCCCATATTTCAGTACAGGGCTTGGGGGTGTCTCCAAAGAGGAGCTGCCTGCAAAATCTCCCCAACTGCATTCCCAGGGCCACGCATAGGCGAGCTCCATCTTCCTGGGTTGGCAGTTCGGTTGTGAAAATATTTGTGTTCAGATTCCCCAGACACCTCAGGGCAGGTGGGAATGCTTGTGTGATCCCTGCGCCTTCACTGACGCTTAACTCACAAGTTTCGGGGCGCTGAGTTTGACCCCAGCACCAGGGAGCTGAACGCTTCCCAGATGCAGTGAGACCACTGATGAGATCCCAGCAGTCCTCAGAGAGGGTAGGGAAGATGGGTTGCCAACTCCAGATCTATTCCAAAGAAGCAAATGCTAAGTATAATGTACCGACCTCAAAGTTACTGTTTTGTTTCTCCCTAGAAATAGAGCTTAGTGTTCAAAAAATAAAAGAGCATAAAGAGCAAAGAATATGGAGTAGAACTTCTTGAATATCTTATATAAGAATATCCCAAAGACAAGGCATTTAAAATAAGTACCGTGTGCTTGAGAAAGCACATTCTATATTTCTCCTCGGAATATCATGTACGAGCGGAGGTATTTGCCTTGGCGTGATTGCATTTCCATTAAATAGGTTTTTTTAAACGTGGATAAGTTTGACTCTAACAGCTATTTAGGATAAGGATTCTTACTTGACTGAGAATGTCCTAACATTGTGTACAACACAGCAGTCTTACTGCAGCGCAATGCAATAAAAATTACGTTGCGACCCCTGAAAACAGGCGTGCGGGCCAGGCACATTTTATGTGTGAGTTTTAGAAGTTCATCCCACACCGATCTGTTTTCTCGTCCCCCTCGATCTGGGCTTTATGGCTGCTGCTGATTTCGTTCTGCTGCTTCCTTTATGCTTTGTGAAGAGTTGGGTGACTTTGAGGACAAGAACCTCACTTCGCTGGTGCCTTGCCTGTGTAGGTTTTGTTGGCTGTGACCTAGTATTTAGAATTCCTTTTTAATTGTAGCTAAAGAAGCAGACTAATGAACAACACTACTCTGGTGATTGGACTCAGCTCACGCCTGAGAGATAGAGCCCTCTGGCATGGTTGGACATGCCGTGGGATTAGTCCAGAGATTTAGGGCACGTAAAGACATCTGCGGGGCTGAGCCTTCATTAGTGCATCCTTCTGTCCCACTCTGGAAATCAGAACAAATTACATCTGCTCGCAGGTTCTCCCATGGTCTGTGAGCTGTGTGTTATGCTTTTCCAGGTTGGATAGACTTATATAAAATTCTTTGAGCAGTTGGCTGCTTCTACAGAGAAATACTCTTCCTAGAAACCCAAGGTTCTGCATACGGGAACGTCGTCTGTACCTCCCCTCTTCCCCGCTGCCCTTCGTGTTTGCGATCAGTGACAGTCAATGGCCTGGATCTGGGTGAAAACCAGCATCTGGAAGCTCTGGCTTTGAGGAGATGAGCAGCACATCTGGCCGGGTTTGGAAACAATTGTGTGTGTGGTGCTGAGTTTCTCCAGAACCCTTGCATCCCACCACTTTCTGGAAACAGGAAACAGGTACACTGGGGTCCAGAGGAAGCATCCTCTGAAAAAACCCATTACAGAACCCAGGAAACGTGCTTTCCCCAGAGCTGAGCTGGTGCAAATTCACAGCAAATGCACTGAACCATCGGCCCCTGAGGGCTGCATGGAAGCCAAGGGTGGGAGAGCGCTGATGCAGAGCAAAGGGATGTTCGCTCAGAGTCTGTCAACTGGAAATCTGTTTACAAATCCAGTTTCCCGGATAATGATGAAGCTGACATTTCAGGAGCTTTGATCTTGGGAAGAGGGCGACTGTTTCTTAGAACATGCATTAATTGCACGCTTGCTGTATCCTTGAAGTGCTCTAATTGGGAATGAATCTTAGCTGATTTGAAAACAGTTGGAGGTACATTTAGACCTGGCAATATTATTAGTAGTTTGAATTCCCATAATCAGAAGATAATCAAACTGCAGATCCTTCCCGAGGAAGTCAGTTTGACACCAGTGTAACCTCGCTTCCAAATATTTGGAATGAGTGTGTGTCTGCTCGCTTTGGCCATCTGCCGTGAGCAGCCCGGAGGGATCGTGCCAAGCGGCCCTGGCGGCCCTGGCGCTTTCCCCTCGCGTGTGACTCTTTCTGAGTTGTTGCATGGCAGGGCTGACAGCTGGCCCAGGCTCTTGCCTGGGAGGATGGCCCCAGGCAGGTGGAACCAAGGGCAGGCCATGCGCCAGAGGGAGCTGTCCAGGGTTCTGACCAGGGCCAAGGCTGCAGCTGCGATCGGAGCCTTTATTGCTGGTGGTCAGCCAAGCCCCACGTAGCTCCCCGGTTCTTTCCCGAGGGCCTCTGATAGGAGGGACGCCACAGTGGGCACTCGGGGCTCGGGAGGGCGGCTCTGCTCCAGGAACCAAGTTATAAGAAAAGATGGTTTTTAAAAATAGCTCTGCATGTGTGTCCCTTTGAGAGCAAGAAAACCCGGCTGGGGCTGTTTGTCATCCTCTAAACCCTCTTCTGTCCTGCTGCTCCTATCTTCCAAGCAAAAATCCAAAGAAGCAAACAGAACACTTTCATTTCTTGGAGATCTGAGGCTCCCTTTTAGTTTCAGAGGGGGTTTACCTTCAAGGGAACAGCTGACACTGCCCACAGTGCCCTCCCTCCAGCTTCCTCCCTCACCCACAGAGCTCGGAGCTCAAAAGAGCCTGGGTCTCTGATCACCAGGCCCAGGTCTGGGGAAGACGGGCATGCGAGCGGTTCTTTGTCTGTTGCTTTCCCCCATTTTCCACTCCCAAGGAATTCCGGACCCCAGATCTGAACCGAGGCTGGAGCCCAGTGTTTGCGTAGCATTAGCTCAGTTCCCCAAGAGCTCAGGAAGCTGAGGTGGGGTCCAGCGTCTCAGGAAAAAGTGGGGATGAGCAGTGGCTTTTGTCAAATTGGGGGCACTGGCACCTCCGCTGAATGGAAGAAGACGGCGTTGCCTAGTAAGGAGCAGGTGCACTTTGTGGAGGTCGCTGCCTTTCTAGGTGTGTGATGTCCAGGCATTTGTTGAGCACTGAGAGCAGATTTGAGATGTCTCAGATAAGAGGTCACCACGAAGGAGGTTTTCTTGTGAAGATGAGATTCGATTCGTAAAGGAGAAAGGAAGGGCGTAGAGTGCAAGTCCGTGACTGGGCCAGAGTGGGTGTGGGGGATAAGAAAGGCGTCAGAGGACGCTTGGTGAGACGGTCACTGCGGAGCACTTTGGAGCTTTGGAGGAGTGACGTGGTGGTCTTAGGTGGACCTGGAACTCCTTCACCTGAGCAGCGATCTTTTGAACGTGTCCTCGGCTGGGTTCATTTTCATTAATGCCCCGCATCGGTGCGGTGTGTTTGTCACAGGCAAAGCCACCACACTGAGTGGCGTCAGCACTGGAGCACACCCTCACGCAGGTGCCCTGGTGTTCCAGGGTCCTTCCACTCTTGGACGGCCCCGCACAGAAGTCCACACAGTGCTCCGTCACTGCCTCCTGTGCTCTTGCTGTGACCGTGGTGAGGCTTTCTGAGCTCCTGGTGGCCGGGCTGTCCACAGCTGCAGGGCAGGGTCTGGGGGCCTGCCCTCTGCTGGAATCTGCTGTGTTCTCCCGTCCTCCCACTCCTCCTGTCACCAGTGCCTGCATCCTGGCTATGTTGACTCTGCCACCTGGCTGGGCGCTGGGTGCCAGTCCTCTGGCGGCTCAGCACCCCGCCCGCAGCGGCCTTGGATGGAAGGAAGGGTCCTTGGCAGCTCCCAGCACAGGGAGGGATGCTCCCCTCGCCAGGGAGAAGGGCCATGAGGGTCATTGGGAATCTGTAGGTGACATTCCTTTATTTCCCTCCTTCGCTTATTAAGGACATTTATTGTTTATGTTTTTCAATGCAGGCACCTGGGTATTTATATTATACTTTGGGTTGTAATCTGCTGTTATTTTATTTTGTTGCTCAAATTTTCCTTTGGCCAGCAGAACTCTTTAAGTTGGCCCCAGTACAATGTGGAAGGAAGTGTGTGTGCGTGTGTGCGTGTATCTTGCTCCTTCCTGATCTCAGAGAAAACGTCTCGTTTCTCACTACTTTTATGTATATTCTTCATCGAGCTGAGAAGCCTCTCCTCCACTCCTCATTTGCTGTGAGGTTATTTTTTTAAGTCATAACTTGCTATTGAATTTTGTAAAGTTTTTCCTGTGCCAATTGATGTGATCACATTTTTCTCCTCTCGCCTATTGATGTGAACTACTCTGATACATATTTTGACGTTAAGCCAGTCTTTCATGCCCAGAATAAATTCCCCTTCTTTGTGGTGTTCGCTTCCTTTCACTTATCGTTGGGTTCAACTTCCTGTCCTTTCTGGGGGATGTAGCAACGAGGCGCACTTCCCTGTGTCTGTTTTGTTTTGTTTCTTCCCTTGTAATGTCTTTATGTTGTTTTGCTGTCGTGGTTAGAATGTCTTCTCTCTGCTCCTGTTGTGAGGAAAAGAGAGTGCAGAAATAAAATTACTCCTTTCTTGAATGTCTGGAAGCTTTCACCAGTAAATCTGTCTGGGCCTGGTGGTTTTTCTTTGGGGCAGTTATTGATTATTTATTCTGTTTCTCTAACAGAGAGGACTCTTTGGGTACCAGTTTCTCCTTGTGAGTTTGGTATTTTGTGTCTCTTGGTGATTCAATCCATTTTATCGAAGTTATAAGATGGGTTGGTCATCGTCAAGTTGTCTGCTGTGTCTCTTACTTTTTTTTTTGACTTTTCTGTGCTTCTGGTTTTTAATTTTAATTCTAACTTTTTATTGCAAGTTGACAGATTGGTATAATTTCTGTGGAGTACAAAGTGGTATTATGATTGATGAGTACAAAGTGGAATAATTAACACAGGCTAGTCAACATATCTATCACCTCAAATACTCATCATTTGTCATGGTGAGAATT